CTTCTTCTTCTTCTTCTTCTTCTTCTTCTTCTTGTAGGACCGCCGCCACAGCCCGTCGCCATACCCCGCCAGCACACCATACCGCCCTGCCGCCGCCGCCATCTTCTCCATCGTATTGCAGGTCGCCTGAGGCGCGGCAGGTTTAAAAAAAATAAAAATAAAAAAATCTTCATCTTCTTCTTTTCTCCTTCGCCTCCCCCTCATCTTCTTCTCCTTCCTCATCTCTCCTCCTCCCTTCTTCTTCTTCTTCTTCTTCTTTTCTTCTCCGCCTCCCCCTCGTCTGCTTCTCCTTCATCTTCTCTCCTCCTCCTCCTCTTCCGCCCATCTTCTTCTTCTTCTTCTTCTTCTTCTTCTCTCGTCCTCCGCCTCCCCCCCATCTTCTTCTTCCTGTTATAACACGGAGACATCGCAGACACCCCAACCTAGTATATACTCGGTATCACACATGCAGCAAAACAGCAGGCAACATACATGCAGAGTCCCCAACACCCATAACCCCCCCCTCACACCAGACAACCAAAACCAAAACCGAAATCAAAATTTTATTGCAGATTCGGGGTCCTCTCGCCGAGCACAGTAGGACCCCGCCCTCAAAAAAAATAAAATAAAAAATTCTGGGCTGTTTTTTGGCCCGCCCGGTTTGACCGGGCGACCTGCCCGGGCCCCACCCGGCCGGGCGGCGTCCGTACTCAGGGAAACACCAAAAAGAGGCTCTTGCCCTACGAGATTGTCCAGCGGCAAGCATATAATCGAGCATTGGAAGAAAAGGGGCTCAGACATACTGGTGTACGAGCTTCCTTGCTCATATATTGGGCCTCTCCACTACACAACACTGAACAGTGAACATGCGTTTGGATGGTTTTTTGAACTTTTCTCTGTACCAGGTGCATTACGACAAGTCCAACTTTTTTAATGAATTGGGTTCATAAAGCATTTAACTGCATGTAGAGTGTTGTGCGGTGGAGCGAGGCCCATCGTTTGGCCCCAGATTTCCATAATTCCGCAAAGTCCAAACCAAATGAAACAGTTTCAGAATATGGATTGCCTTCGACTTTTTCACTTTGACTTAATAGCCAGACACCTTCCATTCTGAGAGCATGCTCACACCAGGCCCTCGAAATCATGGAATCCCAAAACCAGCGGCCAGACTGTGTCCCTGCAAGAGATGGACATCATCTGGCCTCTCATTTTGTGGTTCTGCAATTTCGAGGGCCTAGTGTGAGTATACTCTGAGATGCAGTAGCGCCGTTCCTTTTCCACCCGCAAGTCAGTCTGTGTGCATGAAAGCGCACATCTCCCTCCCATTGCAATTGCAATTGGAGAACTGCGGCTTTCATCAGCATTGACTACCTGTAAACTCCTCAAACGAGGATCCATTGGAGGGCAAGTCCGGTGCCAGCACCCGCGGTAATTCCAGCTCCAATAGCGAACATTTAAGTTGTTGCAGTTCAAAAGCTTGTAGTTGGATTGTGTATGGGACTGGTCGGTCCGCTCTTGCGGGCGTGTACTTTCCCTTTCGCCTTTTCTTGCCGGGGATCCTGATTCAGGGCATACCCACACTAGGGACTTTTTCTACTCCACTCCGGACGTAATTGTGGTCAAATACACACATGGTGGACCGAGAAAGCCGTCAGAGAGTCTAGTCTTATTCTTCTTCCCGTCGTTGTGGATCATTGTTCCTTGGTATGCATTTATGAGTTTTCCCCTTCCGTGCTCTTGTTCTTCCTCCTTGGGACAACCTCAACGACTTCTCCAAATGGTGCCTTGTTCCCACGTGTCCAATTGTTGCAACTCCACGGCTATTTTGCGTAAAGCTGACTTTGGGTTCTTTTGGTGTTCTTATAGAAACACAAAGGCATACTCCTCATTTCTTCTTCGCCGACAATTTATGGGATCGACCCTCATGACCCTTCTGAACTGTAATCAGATTTGTAAAGGTTTGGACCAATGCTCCTTTTCACCTTCTGTGACTCTCTTCACCTTTTTTTTTTTTTTTTTTTTTTTTTACATCAGATGCCGGTGCCTTATCCTTGGAGAACGGCTGCTGATGGCTCCGATCTCATTCGAGGAGAGCAGCACGTGGCGGAAACCGGGTCCAGCGTCCCACGATACATCGAATCGTGACCCTGTTCATCTTTTTGACGTCAACTTACATGATACATCGAAGCTGACTCTCTTCACCTTTTGATGTCAACTTACAAGCAGTCTGAATGTGTTCCACTCAGTCATTGTTCCAACACCAGTTGAATTGTTCCCAAATTTTCCAGTGTAGAAGGTTTTCTCCACAATAGCAAGCTTTCCACTATAGCAAGCTTTCGTTCCCTTACCCACTGGGCATTTCCTCTTGCTTTCTAGGGGCATTTCCCTTTGCTTTCTTCAACCAGTCACTTCAACCTTCATCTAATCTCCATCTCCCACCAAGATCTCTCGTGCCCAACCATGCAGCCTTAAATCCTTCCCATCGATAGCTTTAGCGTGTCTCCTCCTCCTTATACCCTACCATTCACTTTCCTGATAGGAGCTGCACAAGACTTTCACTAATCAACATGTGGAGGAGTGAGCATCTGTCCACCTGATTCGGAATCTAGAGGGGAAGGGGAGCGGGGACTGCAAAGGGAACACTAAAGGAGCCCTACAGAGATTGCCTTTTTTCCAATCGACGCTTGGTTCAGAACAGCAGAATGAAAAATGCTCCCCGTAACCTGCAACATTCTCAGAGTATATTTTGCCAAATTTCTTTTGTGCTGTTGCCGGTGCCCTTTTCTTCCGCGCCACTACATTTTGTCCCGGCCTGGATGAGCACCCGGGACTCCGTCTCATCCACCCAGACCTTTGGCACTTTTTTTTCCACCCCAGCTCACTTTGAGGCTGGGCCTGTGTACGGCTTTTTGTGCCAGGCCGTTTTTCCTTCCAGGCCCTCTTGCTGAGACTGCAAGGGAGGGGATGGACAAGAGCAGGGACACAGGGTACACGTTCATAGGCCCAGCCTGGGTTTGTAGCCACACGGCCTCACATCCGGTCTGCCGTACATCAGTTAGATCGGACGGCCCAGGTGGAGGCCAACCTTGGTACCTTGGTGAGTAGCTCGCCTAGTACTATTTACGAGAGACCAGCCCAGTAGTTCAGAGGTGTTTCTCACTTGCTTCCCATGCCACCAGGCTGCCGAGTTTAGCAGCCCAGATCTAGTTGAGGTCGATGAGCACCGTTAGAGGAGTTACAGTAGCGCTGTAGGAGGTCAGAGGAGAGCGGAGGTCAGCGTGGAGGCGGTCTACTCACCTGACACCATATCTTGGAGGTCTGCTGACACCCATAGCTGGTCTTCTTCTTCCTCAAGACACCTGCAGTGCATCAGCGGGTCAAGGCTCTCCCTCTCATGGTCATTATCATCTACGGCGGGAGAGAGAGAGAGAGAGAGAGAGAGAGAGAGAGAGAGAGAGAGAGAGAGAGAGAGAGAGAGAGAGAGGCTTCCACATTCCTCCTTGTCCTCTCTACATCCTCTAGACACATAAAGAGACTGGAGACTTGACAGTGGTGCTATGGGAGTCAGCTCCCTGGTTCAAGATATGAGATTCATTGTCAGAGGGCGTTTTGGAGGTTGCAGGCAGACCGGGGTGGAGTGATGCCAGACATTCCGTTTTCTTCTGCTGCTGCTTCTTCTTCCTTCCTTCCTTCCTTCCATCTCCCTCCACCTGTGTGATTGCTGGAGGGAGGTTCTTCTATGATTGGACCCCTCCCCGCTTGTGTGAGATCAGATCTGCATCAAACTGTCATTTTGCCACATTGTCAGTCAGTCCTGTCTGATCTGAGTCGACTGCTGCGTGACATTGCATCTCTTCCTCATATTCATGATGTTTGGACTTGCATTGCCGCCAGGCAAGCATCAGTTAGGCACCTTGAACCCCTTTAACGAGCAGCTCATGGTTGAGCCTGCACAGAACTCAGAGGAAAAAGAATGAATGGCACAAAACAACGTCCGTACACACCAGCTTTTGTCATCCAGACGGTCAGGAAACCCTGCACCCATTTCTGGAACAGTACATACACGAAACTGTGGAGAACTGAGAGAAGAGATGAATGGCACCGCAACAAAAAGGAGATAAGCATACCTTGGTACAATGAGAAACATTGTAGCTGCAAAAGTCTGTACTAAGATATTCTTACCAAACTAAGACCGTGATGAAACATGACGGGCGACAGCAGAGATCCATAAGACCGTGATGAAACATGACGACGGGCGACAGCAGAGATCCATCCGCAAACGACGACACAATTATCACATACACATTCAGAAAACCACACCTGATTGATGCAAAGGGTAGGCTAAATCTAGTGCAGGCGATGGACGCTTATATTGATCGGTTCACAATTGCTATGGACCGATCAGACATGTGCGGCACACGCAGTACCGCTCACGCATTTGATGATGAATGGCATGTTCATCCTACGATCAGTCTGTGAATAGTACGTCAGCCTTGAGATGAATGGAAAGGACTACAAGTTATATCATACAGCCAGCTGTATCCTGGCCCCTGACCGGTCAAGCAATCATCAAAGCAAAGCACATTGCCTGCTACACCTATCTGTGCTCATGACTGACCGCCTTCTCCTCAAAATCTTTTCTGTTGTACTGAATCACAACCAACGCACATACATCCATTCTGCCACTGTCCTCCATTCGACAAGCAAACTGGCACAGACATGATACAAGCTTCCAAGTCCCAGCAACCTGCTAAGGGCATACTCACACGAGAACCTTTTTTAAGCCCATCTGACTGCAATTACGCCATGATCAGGATGCACCTGATCGCAACCGCGTCCTGAGCTGAGTCGAAAAAGTCCTAGTGTGAATATGCCCTAAGTAAGGTGGCAAGTTCTGGCAAGCAGGAAACAGACAGACTAACAAACATTTGCAGGTCCGCAAGTCATCCAATCCTCTTCAGATTCTGCAAATGCTGGACTACCCGTAGCTTTTGTCTGTCAGCTTGTGTTTTCTTGCTCTTCCTCATCACACCTTCTCGTGATCTACGCTCCTCATCCCCTACCCCTACCCCTACCCAACCATCCTCCTGTACAGTCTCCCCCCAGGTCTGCTTCCATATCCTTCCTACTGCCTGGAACAGAAGGAACTTCGTTTATTTTACAACAATAATCACACATACCTATGCTGCTGCTCATTGTTGCCACTTTCAAATCCAGCCAAGGAACAAATTTGCTGAAGAAGCGTCCACTTTTCAGTAATACCTGCCAAGAGGAGGAAGAACTCCACAAAACGCAGGCACCGTTCACCTGCTCTAGTCCGCCCCCAAATATTGTTTTAATGCGCAGGCTGCCATTGCTGTTGCTCAAGGCTCTCTTCAAACCACAACTGTTTCAGAGCCCTGTCTTGCCGAATCTGCAGGCTCAGTATCAGGATTGGGCCGGTGGCGTCCCAACCTCTTTTGAGCCCCTGCTGCTCACCACTATCACAATTTTCAAGGGCCAACAGATAAGCCCCGAAGAACAAATTTGCGGGAGAAGTTCGGGTATTGAAGTTCGGCTGTTCAGTCGTACCTGCAAAAAGGAGGAACTCCACAAAACGCATGCGCACTTCCCCCTGCTCAACTCCACCCACAAATAGTATCTTCGCGTACAGGGCGCTATGTTGTTGCCCAAGGCTCTCCTTAAACCACCACTGTTTTAGAACCAGTCTTGTTGAACCTGCAAGCTCAGCAATGGGACTAGGGCGGTGGCATCCAACCTGCTCTCAGCACACGAGCAATTTAAAAGAAAAAGAATAAAAAAAAGGGACCAAGCCTGGGATCCAGGTTCAGTTGGGGGTTCCCCCAGCAGATGCAAATTTCTACCATACAGCCAATACCTGGACGCTATTTCCACTTCCGAAGAGCCTACTAGGGGCCTCCTGGGAATTCCGTGGAAAATTCTGCGCCCGTGGATTCGCTGACAGCTTAAAGCTGCACCAGCACTCGCAGCAACAAGCGCAGCCGCAGCAAACAATGACCATAACAGGATGCATCGGCACAACTCACTAGTGCTCTGAGAGGTCGCAACAGCGACCACAGTACCAAATAAACAGTGTGGTCTACCAGCCGCTACTCTCATTTGGGATCACTTGAAATGGCGAAGGCAGCATACAGCCTACAACAACGGCCTGCCTATCATCTGCACAACGCTTTGGGGTGGCAGAGCCTGCACACCCAGACTCATGGCCAGCTACTGTCGTCCGTGTTGCTGCTGCTACTCGGTGAGCTGCGACTGTCACTAGAAGAAGATTTTCCATCTTTGACAACATGATGGGGTGAAGGTCTATCATCCATTTTCTTTGGCGAGGATTTGAGGGAGGAGAACTCCCATTCGCCTTTTCCATCCCAATCCGCTCTCTGAAGAGCCTCGGTGAGAGCAAGCACCGGATACTGGCACTTCCCTCCCCTGGTGTTCTTTCTCCCATCCCTCACCACGCCGCCTACGAACAGCTCTGCCTCCTCAATTAAACCTGAGAAGTTCTTATAAAAACTCTCCACATATAGCTTTCGGTCGAGCATTCCATACAACAGGGTCTCTTTCCGATTTCCGCCTTCCGGAACATTCAGCCAGAGTCTCTGTATGTCCCACCGCAAGCGTGCCAGCAAATGGAATTTGTAATGCTGCAAGCAGTGGTAAACGGAACTGCGAAGGGAGCAGTGCCAGCCCACATCCACAGTTGTTCTTTTCCTTTTCCCAACCTTAACCCTGACAGGACAGGCAGCCTCCACGTCAGTTTTCCCATCAGTTTCCTGAGCAGGTGCCTCTTCCAGAAGGTCAGAGAAATCAAATTCCCACAAGGCGCTGGGCTTGTAGCTACCACCCACAAAAACCAGCTGTAAAACACAGGCACACATGCTAAAGTCAGCGTACAGGCGGCAATTCCATCAAAGACATGCGGGTCAACGTAATAATCCACTTACCAGGGGGAGAAAAAATAAAATAAAAGAGGGCTTAGAGGGGGGAACAAAAGGGGTTAAGAGACCTGACACCCACCCTTTAAAAAATCCATTAAATTTGGGATGGTAGTACGCTATAGAGAAGATTAGCATGCCCCCTGTGCACGGATGGCACATACAAGTCAAGAAATGCTAGACAATCAAAGGGAAAAGACGAAAGAAAGCAAGCAAGAAAGAAGCCTGACCCCCCCCCCCCCCCCCCCCCCCCCAAAAAAAAAAAAAAAAACCCCCCCCCCCCCCCCCCCCCCCCCACAAAAAGACAGAAATAATCCTTCCATCCTCGCGCAATAACAACCCAATCAATCAACCCACAACATCCCAGACCCCAACACGGACAAATCATATCCAAACAATCTAACGCCCATCCGACGCAATCCCCTCCCCCACACCCTATACTTCAGACACACTATCACTTCCCCCATCCTGTCTCTTATACACATCTAGATGTGTATAAGAGACAGAATATTGACACTCCAAAAAACGCACCAAGAGACTTCATGCTCCAGCCATTCCGGCCCCCCTCTCCAACAACCAAGTCGCAGCTAAAATACCCAGGGACCACCAATTCCTTACCCCTCACATCCAACCATACACCCCGCCTCTTCTCACCATCAGACAGACACAAATATTGACACTCCATCCTCAGCCCTCACTTTTCACAAGCCCGGTTGGGGCCCCAGTAGAAGGTGGCTTCCTAGGGTATAGGGTATAGGGGTTACGTACATGATTATGTACATGATTACGCACATGATTGTAAATACATGACCTTATTTCTTTATCTTCTTGTAGCAATTCTGAATACAAATTCAAGAAAAAAGCAAGGGGTGCCTGTCTGCTTATACTTGTCACAATGACAGTTGCAGATCCCACTCTGAGAACTCTGTGTTTTCTAAGAAGTCACTGCCTTTCTGACGAGTTATTTATTACCAAGCTTTCGATGTCTGAAGCGTTTTGGCTTGCCTGCGAGCCCAATGTGCATCTTTCTAGTACCCAAGCTTTCTATGTCTGAAGTGTATTGGCTTGCTTGCGAGCCAATGTGCATCTTTCTAGTACCCATGCTTTCCATGTCTGAAGTGCTTTGGCTTGTCTGCAAGCCAATGTGCGTCTTTCTAGTATCCACTGAGTCTGTTGAGCGCTACCAAATTACTCAAGAGTTTGCCCACGTTGTCCTGTGTCTCGGGAGTCACATGTTTGTAAATCCATGTCGATATAGAGAGACAGGGGAAATTAGATAGCCCAGGGAAATACGTGTATATGTAGAACAGGGTGTGATATATATATATATAGGGTAACGGACCCATCAGGGATTTTCTCTTCTGTAACTCCAGGAGGCCCTGCAGTCCAATAGGATTAGAACTTAGAAGTAGGACAATGATGGCACCGGACCAAGCCCAGACAGACATCAGGTCATGTCCCTAGAGAACAGGTCGGCTTACAGTCTGCAATAAGAGGTCGATGGACCCTGGGGTAGGTGGATTAGGGCCTAGAATGGCCGAGGGCTACGAAGCTTGCCCGGTTGGGCAGCCTCGGGCTGGAGAAAAGACCTCCATAGCTATAGAGCACGAGTACAAGCGAGAACGAAAAAGGATAGTCTATAGTTGTTGAGTTAGTGCTCACATTGGGCATGTAGACGAAGAAGAAGAAGAAGACTTCAGCTTACCAAGACGAAGAAAAAGAAGAAGAGGGAGGCTGTAATGAGGACTCCCCTTTGGGTATTGTTGACTCCCATCTTTACAACTGTGTGATTCACTGCATCAACAAGGCCATTTTACGGATCTGCTGAGTGGAGACTTCACACAAGAAATGAGGTTCCAGTGGAGAGACGGGGGAGTTTTCCTTGTGTTGTCTTCTGTGCATCCCGTTTGGGAGATGTTGATAACATGCTGGACATGAGATGCGCTGCATCAACAAGGCCATTTTACAGATCTGATGAGCGGAGACTGCACTCAAGAAAGCAGCAGTATAGGAATGGGATATGAGTGGAGACTTCACTCAAGAAAAGCCGCAGTATGGGAAATTGGAATGGGATAAACATTGCACCTAATCATTTAAGAAGTTAGAAGAGGCGTTAATACACATTACCACCTTCTGAAGAACGCAGGTCCTTCCATACCTTCCGTAGTTACAACAGATACGAGTCAGATCGGAATAAGGGCTGTACTGTAACAGGATGACGGCAAACTACACGCATGCACATACGAGAGAGAACTACACACACTATACGAGTCGTTGCAAACTTGGCAGCAGTTGTCTTCTGACAGAGAAGAGAAGCTGCATGCACATACGAGAGCGAACTACACACACTATACGAGTCGTTGCAAACTTGGCAGCAGTGTCTCCTTGGTAGACACTTCAAAGTCTACTCGGACCACGAGATCCTGTGATGGCTGAAAACTCAGTCTAGAGTGTCAGCGGCTGAAAACTCAGTCTAGCGTCAGCGAAATTAGCAAGGTGGTCGCAGGAGACTGACGAGTTTGATTTTGAATTGAAGCCCGTCAAAGGGAAGTATTATAATGTCCTAGGGCCGATGCCTTGTTCTGTAGAGCAGACTATTTCTGACGGACCTCAATGTCGCACACGAATTATAGCAGAAAATCAGAAACGCAATCGCTACAGACCCCATACTTATTGAAGTAATTGATTGTGTAAAGAACAGACCCCAAGATGTACCCGAAAATAGAATGACTAACGGACACAACTTTCTGTCACCCAGAGGAGAAGACAGACTGTGTATTCCAAGCTATGAGCATATTCCTAGTATGATCCTAGGACAGTGCCACAACACAGGGGCTACATTTTTGACAGAGAACAGAAAGAAAGATATACACAACTATACTTGGTTTTACTCCACCCACAAACGGGAAAAATTAGAGGTGTAGGGAGGACAGGCCGGACGTTGATACGGAAGATAAGACAGGGCGGAGCAGGCGGAAACCTCAGACGGTTAACAAACATGACATTCTGCATGACAAGGAAGTTTAGGCACCAAGGCGACCCACAGAATTTTCGATAACTGGCCAAAGAGGGTTTAGGCCCTTTGGGAAGCGCTGCAGGAGTAGTAGTAGCGCTAGCAGTAGTCTTCAGCGCTGGGCGCTAGTAGCGTTAGCAGTAGTCTTCAGCGCTGGGCTCTAGTAGGAGCTAGGATAGTACTGGAGAGAGAGAGAGATTGGGCGGAGGCCAGGGAGACTTACCTGCAGCGCCATAGCTCCAGCTCCGTCTTCGAGATACCTGCAGCACAGCGCCAACTTCACAGGTTAGTACCTGGCACGTGAGAGAGAGAGAGAGAGA